TTGCGAATCAACAATATTTTGATAATTTGTGGCAACTTTGTGGAATTTGAGTCAATCGAATTTTTTTTTTTCAATGTGAAGTCGAATTTAATAAAGGTCTTTTGCTTCAAGCAGAGGCTGAGCTTGATAAAATATAGCAAATGTAAGAACACAACAAGTCTATCCTCAACTTGAAACCATTGTTTCCTGGACACTGAAGTGCATTCAAGAAAGGTCTTTTGCTTCAAGTAGAGGCTGAGCTTGATAAAATACAGTAAATGTATGAACACATAAAGTCTAACCTCAACTTGGAACCATTGTTTACTGGTCACTGAAGTGAATTCAGGAAAGGTCTATTGCTACACTAGGTTGAGCTTGATAAAATACAGTAAATGTATGACCACATCAAGTCTATCCTAAACTTGAAATCATTGTTTCCTGGTCACTGAACCGAATTCAGGAAAGGTCTATTGCTACAAGTAGAGGCTGAGCTTGATAAAATACAGTAAATGTATGAACACATCAAGTCTATCCTCAACTCGAAACCATTGTTTCCTGGTCACTGAAGTGAATTCAGGGAAGGTATATTTCTACAAGTAGAGGCTGAGCTTGATAAAATACAGTAAATGTATGAACACATCAAGTCTATCCTCAACTTGGAACCATTGTTTCCTGGTCACTGAAGTGAATTCAGGGAAGGTGTATTGCTACAAGTAGAGGCTGAGCTTGATAAAATACAGTAAATGTATGAACACATTAAGTGTATCCTCAATTTGGAGCCATTGTTTCCTGCTCAATGAAGTGAATTCAAGAAAAGTCTATTGCTACACTAGGTTGAGCTTGATAAAATACAGTAAATGTAAAGTATCAAGTTTAACTTCGACTTGGAGAATCTTGGAGCCATATTTTCTTGTTTGCGCTTTTTCTTGTTATTTATTTATTTATATAATTAATTTACTTTGAAAATCATATTGGTAGATAGTGCAAAAATAAAAAAACTTGTAGTTCCTTATCAATTATGTGAATTTAAGAAAGCGACCTATTTCTGCCAGTAGAGCAAAACAGATCTTGATAAAATACTGGAATAGATCGCTATATTTTTAAACTAAAGACGTTAAGTTCCATATCTTTTTGTACCAGTTTTAGTTCTTAATCAAGTGGAAATCTTAATAAAGATACGTGCATACGGGCGAAGCCGGAAAAATACTTCCGTTGTCCGACGTGTAGTCCGGCACGTTGCAGCTTCGTGCACATCACGAGATTCCCGTCTTGTAAAACATTTTCCTTTCAGTTCAAAGCCACAAAATTTCACTTTAAACATGCTTTATCTCACCTCAACATTTTCCTTGAGTTTCATGCTGTTTGTTTTGTGAAATTCTCTCAAAAAGAAAGAAAAAAAAGCTGGGTTAGAGCTGAGGTTTCGCAAGCACCGCGTGAAAGGCACGTGCATTCGTCACTAAATCTCTATTTTGTTAAGATTGAAAAGCAACAAAATATTCATCAAACCGATAAGAAAAGCTATAATACTTTCTATTTTCAGTTAAAAAAGCTTCGTTTATTAAAGCGATAACGAGTGAAAAGTCAAAATTTCTCAACGCGTAAGAAGAGGAAAAATATATTCTTTTCGAAACTGCATGATCATCAGTCCTTTTCCGGTCGTCAGTTTGGAACTACAAACTACAAGGTTTTCTATCCCCCCCCCCCCCCCCCCTGGGGGGGGGGGTGGTTTGCAAGCAGGATATGGGGGTCATCTTTTTGCAAATAAAGTCGTTGTGAGTGAGTGAGTATTGTGACTATACTACTAGGATATGAGCTAG